AATTCTTGAGTATTTGCCAAAATCGTAGTAGCAGCGTTGTGACTCGTAGTAGCAGCAGCGTATAGTGTATAATGTAAACACAGTGTAAACAGACCCCCGTATTTAGGGGGGATTATATGTACTGAATTGACCTGGCTATTCCCCCAGGGGCTGCACTCGCCTGACCCATCTATCCCCCCAGGGGCTGCACTCCCTTGACCCAGCTATCCCCCAACCCTAAAAGTGCACTCAGTTGACCCAGCTATCCCCCCTCAGCCCCAAAAGTGCACTCAGTTGACCCAGCCATCTAGGCGCTTTATACTACTCATAACGATACAGATCCGATAATACAAAAAAGTGCAATTTACAGCGCAATGTTTTTTTGCGCACTTTTGGGGAGAACTTCTCCACTTTCCAGCATCGATCAATTAACTACCTTTCACTCCCTAATTCAAGGCACATTATTTAACTAATCTGTATATTCAATCCATCTCCCAATCCTTTATAGTCGTCTCTACAATTAATAAACTCGCTTGATTAAAATTATTTGTTAGATTTCTGAAAATTCACGTCAGGCGAGTTTTTTTTTGCCTGAAGAGACAAAAATAAATGGTTGGGAGGTGGAAAAAAATATACCTATTGACTGCAGTATGTGTCTAGAAGGGAGTGAAAGGTAGTTGATTGACCAATGCTAGAAAGTGGAGAAATTCTCCCCAAAAGTGCGCAAAAATTATTGCGCTGTAAATTGCACCTTTTTTGCATTACGGGATCTGTAGCGTTATGGTCAAAGACAAATATGTAAAACCATAACGCTACAGATCTGCAGCTATATTTCATGCAGCCATCATTTACTAGAGGAATTGAAATTTAAAAAAAAATGGTACCGTTTTTTGATATTTATCCGAATATAATTTTTCAAAATATTCGCTACTATCGTCTCCATCAATTAGACGCATGCCTTTTCACACATATCGAAGTGGTTTGATGATCAAGACTCATTTCCATTGTTTACTTTATATTTTTCCCGGGCAACAATTGATGGTAACATCAATGCTTTCTTGTTCTCCTCTTGTGTATTATTACGAATAAATTCTGCTTCATATTTATACAAGCTTATTTCTGTTAGAAATTGGGCGCAACTGGTTCCCATGAGAATTTCGATAGATACTTTGAAGACCCAGGACCCGTTTTACAAGAGAAATTTTTACTAAGATCAAAGACCTTAGGTGAATGTTAAATCGTACAAAACGTATGTTTCTGTTAAATCGTTAATCTAAAAATATCTTTCCAAATTATTAAAAATGATTTCTGGTCACTGAAGCCTAGTGGTAGAGCGTTCGCTTTGTGACATATCTGCTTCATATTTTAAAATTTTACAGGAAAAATAAGTTAAGGGTATTATATCAATAAATAATATGACTTTAACTTTTCAGTCGTCAACTTTCCTTTCTTATGTAGTAATATACCCCTATCAACTGAATACATGATTTATACCTATCATTTGATTATACAATCAACACCAAACACTACGTGTGAACATTTTTAAGGCGAAATAAGTTATTGACAACTAATATATTAGCAGTCTCGTTTAAAATAATAATTTCGTAAATTCTAATGTCGATACAATGACCTTGTCAGCAAATGAAATCCATCATTCAGACAAAAGCTGAGGGACATTTTTCATATTCTTGTTAGGCCATTATTTGCATACTGAATTGTTGACAACTTTCCCGTTAATTTTCGATCATTAAAAAGAGCACACGCGAATGTCAGCAGGGGATGTTCACTACTTCATGACACCTAATCCCACGTCTAATGTTTAAAATGTCTGTGTCTGCTCTGCTATTGATATGTAATATTTAAAAGACTTTTGAGCTTGAATATTGTTCTTTATCAGCATCGCTTGAATTCTAGTTAAGGTATAAATTAAAGTGTTTTATTTTATAGTAAGTCTACCAATTTTTAGCTTTTGCTTTTTTGCTCTAAATTTGTCCGTTGTCTGTCGTGTTCGTTGTTGTCGTCGTAAACTTATCACATTTTCATCTTCTAAAGAACCACTAGGCCAATTTCAACCAAACTTGCACAAAGTATTCTTTGGTGGAGGGGATGAAAGTTTTTTTTTCTTCAAACGGAGGGCCGAGCCCTTTTCCAAGCGGAGATAATAATAAATTGATGAAAAATGAATGGCATCTTTTAAAAATCTAATTCTCCAGAGCCATTTGGCTAGAAAAGAAAAAAAAACTCAAGTGGAAGCATAATCAGGTTGTGTAGATTCAAATTTGTTCAAATTACGATCCCCGGAAGTTGGGCGGGTCCACACTGGGTGATCAAAATTTAACATAAATGTAGGAATATATAGAAAAATCGCTAGAAATCTTTTTCTCAAGAACCACTGGTCAAAGAATGTGTTAATTCAAGCTTGTTCATATCATGACCTAATAAGGGGTAGGGTTGGGCATAATTAGCAACCAATTCTTTATATAGAACAATATAGAAAAAAATCTTTAATTTTTTTCCCAAAGAACACCAAAGTCATGGCATAATTGGTTACATTAATATGGAACATCCTCAGGTAGTGTAGTTTGTTCAAATCGTTGATTGCTCAAAAAGGATTTCTTGAGGGTAGGGTGGGGACTTAAAGTAGATTCAATTTTTACATATTTACTTGATTATATTTAAACTTTTTTCCTGGAAAACACCAAATCCATGATTAACATTTTATATGGAACTACTGGAAGCATCCTCAGGTGGTTTAGATTCAGGTTTGTTCGAATTATGAACCCAAGGTTAAGATGTGGCCACAATGAAGAATCAAAGTTTTGCATAAAAATACGAATATATTGCAAAAAAAGTCTTCTCGAAAACACGTAATTTTTTTGTCAAATAAACAGGTAAGCATCTGCAAGTAGTAACATTTAAATGTATACAAATAATGTCCAGGGGGACGTGGGGTCATAATTATTACATGTTTGTGGAAAAAATCTTGCTTTCAATATGGCAATCTTATACATGAAAGGTCTGTTGATATAGTGACATTCCCAAGTAATAGAAAATTAACCCCACCCCCCTCCCCCACAAGTAAACTTTTCAATTCTGAGCTGACTTCTGTTTTTTTTAACTAGCCCATGTGCTCAGGTGAGCAATGTGGCCCATAGACCTCTTGCTATTTAAAACTGTTAATCTCAAATTGTGTTCCAGCTATGCCCCCAACCTACATATAACCCACCGTACATTATACAATAAACATTCTTATATACTCAGGCACGTAGCAACTTTTTTTCCTTTTCTCTCCCTCTTAACTTTTTGAGGTAAGTAAAAGAAATCTGTGATACCTTGTGAAGTTATTTGCTGACTATGGTTTACGACAGTTTTCGAGGGATAATATTTTTCAATGTTCTCCTTAATTATAATCAGTATTTAAAAATTACATGTAATTGATACTGAATGTTTTATACAAATACAAATAAAATCAATGCGGTGGTACATAGATTTCGCACAATCGATAATTTTTTTGGATCACCTGTTTTGACTTTGGTTGACTTAAATCATGCTGGAGGGCATAATTGCGTCATTCATAGCTTAACAGTTTTTGTTATCAAATTGTTCACGACATAGCAAATTTGAGAAATTTGCATGAAAGTTTAAGATTATGAAATACCATCTTACATCTATAACCATTTTGAATCGTTTTACATAAGAAGAGTATCTACTTTGAAACTATGAGCTCTTGTCTTTATTATAATACAACTATAAGAAATGCATCTGTCAATAGAAAAAAATATGCAGTCTTCCGACAACATGCTTTGAGGAATTATATGCTAGGAACATAAGTGAGATAAACATGACTTTTTAAATTCTATTTAGGGAATAATGACAAACATCAAGAACAAATATGTACAAATCAAATTAACATCATCATTATTGAATTTTCAACTCTTGAAAACTGCAGCTGAGCACTTCCAACGTGATTTATTTCCCTCAAAATGTTAACAAAAGGAAAAAAAATACTTAAACTTTTGACTTGGGTTGGTGATGTTTTAGGTGCGATTTTGTATTTCTTTCTTTAGACTAGAATATATACAAGATGGCATGAATACCCCCTTTAACTTTGACATACTATTTCGCTCACCCAAAGTAAACTATAAGCCATACATTAGTTTAACATACCATAGAGAAATCGATTTCAAACAAAAATCCCTTATTACTGCTTGCATACAGAACATCTTTTGATTATCTTGTGATAATTTAAAATCTCGTGAATTATACTCTCACAAGTCACCCACGTAGCATAAAGGTAAGGGCGTTTTCTTTAGGATTGATCCTTAAGACGAGAGTATCAATTCCACTCGGGACTTGGAGAGTAGTCTTTTGGATGAGACCGTATAAACCGAGACCACCTGTCGCAGTAGTTGGTGTAACAAAGATTATCCCTCACTGCTTAAAGCAATAATTTTGCAGCTCTCCATGTTGTAGCATCTCAATATGAGTAAAAAAAAATTTTTAAAAAGTTAAGAAAACACCCTCAGTAAACCATCTTTAAAATAAGTTAGGAAAAGGTGAGAATAACGAACAGTGATCTTAAGAAATATAATTATACAAATTTATCAAGTCAACATAAAACACCGACCCCTGGAAAATCCCGAGATGGAATCAGGTGCCTAGGAGGAGTAAGCATCCCTTGTTGTTCGATTTCACCCGCCGTTCGCCCCACAGTGTATATATTGATCAGGAACATTCTACAGTCGAGTTCAGTATACTAACAAAAGGTATAGAATAAATTATGTTCATCATGTGTCGACAAAATGAGTGTTAATAACGGCACAATATATAAACTACTGGTTTATGGGAAGTGCAATGTAATGGTATTATATTTTATCTAAACTTCCTATACAAATCTGAAGTTTATCTATTTTTTAAGCAACAACAACAATTAAGATGAATCAAAATAATTTTTCTTGATTTTCCCCAAACTGAATTAAATATATCTACAGCATGCACCAACCATGTAACCACACAAAGAGATTCAGAATTTTGTAAATTTTTGAAAAGAGATGTATTAAACTGCTTTTTTGAATATTTGCCACAGGTCACCATATTTGGGAATAAGGCCAATGCCCCTCAATAACTATGGGTACGTATGTTGTCTCATAAAGTAACTACCATGAATAGATATATGTCGCAATCCTAAAGAGATGTATTAAACTGCTATTAAGTATATTTTCAACAGGTCACCAAATCAGGGGATACAAATGAATCCATTGCCCATGATGAACTATGGGTACGTATGCTGTATCTTGATATACCACCTTTCTCTCTTATGTTCTGCAATCAGTTTAATGGTGAAAACAATTAAGCATTACTACCAATTTTCAAAGCACTTCACGACAGTTAAGGTCAATGCATTGTATTACATAAATCACATAATGACCTCCATTAACATTCATTTTTGTGTTTTTTCGAAGTTGTATTTCAGCAAATCATGTTAATTTATCAAAACATATGGATTAAACTTCTTTTAAGAATATGATAGCACCCAAAGCAACCTCATTGGTATCACATTGCACTTCGGCGAATACAAAATTTGTTTTCACATTGATCTAATTGATCAATCTTTTTCTGCAGTAATATTTATAATCACAATATCCAACAAATCGTATTGTTATACCCTTATAGCTAACTTTATATTTATTACTGATAAAAAGTCCAACAACAGAAATGTTAATTACATTGGTTTAACAATTTCAATATTGACCCGTCTGCCGATCCAACATAAGAATTGTTAGACCGCAACGTCACAGCTACATCACAAGTAATTAATCATCGTTCAATATCGGCAACAAGGAAATAGCCGAAGTTAATAGCTGCAAAAGTTGTTGCTACTAGCATGAAAGAAGGGAAGAGTATGTTTTGAGATAAATAATTTTTTTGTTATAATGAAAATATGAATAATTTTGTTCTTTCTCAGCTATTGTTTTATATTTACTGATTAAGCCATTATCTACCATATAAGGTATTTGATAATATAGTGTTTATTGATTAAATTTTAAGTGAGCACTGAAGGGTACAACAAAACAGTTATAGACTGGGATTCGGGCAACATATGATTTGTTGGACCTGAAGATGAAAATGTTGCCCTTGGCCTGCGGCCTCGGTAAACATTTTGACCTACAGGTCCAACAAATCATATGTTGCCCTCGTACTCAGTAAATAACTGTATATTATATTTCTCCAAGTGTAAAGGGTGAAGATAACGAACAGTTATCGATCTATAAAAAAATTTAAAACAATGCCAATCTAACTGTTTAAATAGGGCAATAGACATGGACCCCGAAAAAAACTTTTAGGGTCTTATTTCATTGAAAGTCATAGATTTGGGCTTAACTAAGTCCGACTAAATAAATTACGTCAAAATTTTGAGGTGGCTAAAGCACAAAATTAGAGAGCGACAAAAGACAAGGCCTAACTGTAGGGCCCTTTACGCTAGGTATTAAACATCCGCAGATCGTATTTTTATTGCAGTCCTTAATACCCTGCTCTTACATATACAGTATAAGCAGAATTTTTATCGAGTATTTAATTTAATTTATAAGCAAGGATGCTGAGATCGGTAAAATTGAATATCGCTAAAAGTTAATTGCGTTTTATTTACAAAAGCTTAATTTTAAATTGCTAAAATTACATTACGCTAAAAATTAATTAGAATTACCAGTTTTGAGGACATCGCCAAATTTACGTCTCGTTAAAATTTCCACTTATACGGTAAGATAAAGTGTTGATGTATGGTGATGAGGTAGTGAAAGTTATTCATAATTCAAGTTTAACTATACATTAAAAAGATTTCACATCAGAATGTTCTCTCCTCTTTTATAAATTACGATATACACAGTGTGCTAACTTCTATTAAGAATCTTCTAAAATCTTCTAAAATATACGTGTGTTTCATATTTCACATACCATGTTGTATTTTCTGCTGTCGAAAAACGACAGGTTCCTTTTTCTGGAACATTAAATATTACTTATCGCTTTAAAAAGTAAGTTACACATTTTGTGTTTTATATGCATACGGAGAATATAGACCTTTCAACTAATTTTTTTTCAAACTGCACATGTAGTAAAACCATTTCAGAGATTCATTTATAGGCACATGGAATTATCAAAAAAAATATTAACTTATACATGTACATATCTTTAATCAACCCATTAAAAATTTAATCCTATGCAGTTGACTAACTCAGGTGCGAAAAATGACCAACTAAGTGCCGATTTATGAGTTATCGTTTATAGGAATGCCATATAGGCTGCCTCAGCATTGGTATTATTATGTAACCGGTTCCTTATATAGTTTTGTATACAAACGTGTTGAACAAAAAAAGGAGAATGTCTTCACTCTACCTGATATAACAAGGTCAAATGAATGGGGAACAAACTACATTCAGTATCTTTAACTCTCTTTGACGATTGCGATGAAGAAGAAAATATAATGTCATGTTTTTTGTGTGCGCACTTTTGCGCTTCCTATATAAACATATATGTTTCACAAGTAAATGCACCAATTAATTATCTTATCTGTGTTACTAAGCACGAAGAAGATTCTACAAATAATTATATATATAAGAATATATTGATCAGGAACATTCTACAGTCGAGTTCAGTATACTAACAAAAGGTATGGTATGAATTATGTTAATCATGTTTGGACAAAATAAGTGTTAATAATGGCACAATATATAAACTACTGGGGGTCGTAACATAAAGGCTACTTAGTCTAAGACCGTGCTTAAGTACGACTTTAGTACAGTCTAAAACTTCATACCGTTACTAGAAGCGTGCCAAGATTTGGCAATCTTAGCAAAACTTAGGCGGCCAGTAGAGGTGACTTAAGTATATCGTAACTTTTTGTACATATATTAAGAATTATTTAATGTTGACTTTCGATGTTAAAACAGTCCTCTATTCATATTATGCATTAAAAAAAAATAATGATCTCTATTTGACGCTGATTTAAGAATTTAACTTTTCGTTGAGGGGGGGGGGGGGGCGGGGTGATCACTGATTCTTATATCACTTCTGATACAACATACGTGTAAATACAAAATTTAATATACTTGTATGTTTACTTTGAAAATATGAGTTGAAATAATATTAAAAACAGAAGAGAGAGAGAGAGAGAGAGAGAGAGAGAGAGAGAGAGAGAGAGAGAGAGAGAGAGAGAGAGAGAGAGAGAGAGAGTCGCTGTTAAGTGGAGACATACGAAAAAATATCCTGATTTTTTTGTATCCTTGATTAAATTGCAAATGAGTATATCATAAAACTTCTGCAGATTTTGCTTCTGATATGCATGGCTTGATACATAGCGAGAAATCAACATGTAACGAATTTTTTAGTGTTTCAATTTTAAGTAGATAGACGGTTGATTATCTTTTCTTGCCTTCGATAATATCAAGGTAAGTGAAAATTTGTCAAAACAAAAGAGTTACAAAAGGTAAACTGAAAACATCTCAGGTGATGAAACAATCGTCGTACATTTACAATGAACGGCAGATCGCCACTTTCTGACAATGCAGTATTTGTTTCTAAACATTTCAATTAATTTATCACATAATTATAATTTTAATACGAAATCTAATCTAACTTAAACCTAAGGCAAGGACGTCAACTTTAATATGTAAATAATAAAACCCTAACTGAATAACTTTTTAGTGTAAGGGATACTTCTGATATTTGTGGGACCTCGGTTATAGAAATAAATTGAGCAAAGTAATAAACCAGGGATCTATACTTGTATGTTCACTTTGAAAATATGAGTTGAAATAATGTTAAAAACAAGAGAGAGAGAGAGAGAGAGAGAGAGAGAGAGAGAGAGAGAGAGAGAGAGAGAGAGAGAGAGAGAGAGAGAGAGAGAGAGTCGCTGATAAGTGGAGACATACGAAAAAATATTCCCTAAATTTTTTTCTGCATCCTTGATTAAATTGCAAATGAGAATATCATAAAAATTCTGCAGATTTTGCTTCTGATATGCATGGCCTGATATATAGCGAGAATTCAACATGTAATGAATTTTTTAGTGTTTCTATTTTAAGTAGATAGACGGTTGATTATCTTTTCTTGTCTTCGATAATAACAAGGTAAGTGAAAATTTGTCAAAACAAAAGAGTTACAAAAGGTAAACTGAAAACATCTCAGGTGATGAAACAATCGTCGTACATTTACAATGAACGGCAGATCGCCACTTTCTGACAATGCAGTATTTGTTTCTAAATATTTCAAATAATTTATCACATAATTATAATTTTTTATACGAAATCTAATCTAACTTAAACCAAAAGGCAAGGACGTCAACTTTAATATGTAAATAATTAAAACCCTAACTGAATCACTTTTAGCAATATATCTATATTAAATCAAAAACCATCGGTTGACTCATATGAAATATATTTAACATAAGTTTAACTTAGCTAAGACCTAGCTAAGTTAGCTTTATGTTACGGTTTAACATATACTTAAGTAGTACTAAGAGAGGTCCTAATATTATGACGTTACGCGTGATGTTGGTGACGTTTGACGTTACGCTTTCATAGCATTATGGAAAAATTGACGTAAAGCTTCTTATAGTGTTACTTGCTTGACTGGTACCCCATCGCTATCTCTTTGTACTTGAAATACAAGTTTAAATAGTAATAGGCTATTTATAATTCAACTAATGAACATAAAGGGCGCTTTGGATATGTATGTGTATGATAAATTCTGTTAATTACTCGAAGCAGTCTTAAACGCATTTCAATGTATTGACGTTGAAGCAGAACGAATTTTACGCGTCAAGAACGTCCACTGGACAAATATGTTGAACCTCCTAAATGTTGCATAAAATATTAATTAATGGAGTAAATTTATTAATCTGACATTCAATCTAAACATTTAGAGTAGCACATTATAAACATTCAATTATTCTTGTACTCGATGGGGAAAACACTATAACTTAACGACTCAAAAAAAGCATTGTCTTATTTTTACACGTCATTTTAGACGCTGGACATTTCTGTTGAACTTGTAATCCAATTACTAGCTCCAAATCATGCAGTTTAATATCAACATCAATGAAATATTTCAAATTTATAGGAAAAGCACATTATTTTGATATAATTTGTTTCTATATAAACTTTCGTGTAAATGAGTAAATTTATTGTGTATATTCATATGCACGTTTTTAATTACAGGCGTTACCGATTCTTCATCTGTAAAAACTACCGCTTTCTATTTCTTGCCAACATTTAATGCAAAATTGTTAATAAAGTCACAAACGACATGGTTTTGCTCCTTTTTTGTGAGGAAAATGAAAATTCTAGATTTACTTATGAACGCTCTACACACGAAAAATGCGCGATCCCTACTAAAAAATGTAACGCGTTACACGCTTAAAATACCCTTTATATGTGTTTTAAAATTAAACATTTTACATAAAAATTATCTAAATGTTATTTTCTAGCTAGAATCAGGTAGTTCTGTTAAAAATCTATCCAAGCATACCAAATTTACCCATATTGCGAGTATATTTTTAAAATTACCGATGAGTTTAATAGGTCAGATTCTAAAATTGTAAAATAGCACCAACATCGCGCGTAACGTCTATACCTAAAAGTACTTACGACCCTATACTTAAGTCAAACACTTAGCAAGCTTTATGTTACGAGCCCCTGGTTTTTGAGAAGTGCAATGTAATGGTATTATGGCTATTACATGAATATTATATCTACCTTCGTATTTAAATCTGAAGTTTATCTATTTTCTAAATAGGAAAATCAATTAAGATGAATAAAATAATTTTTCTTGATTTTTTCCCAACTGAATTAAAAATGTCTACAGCATGCTCCAACAATGTGACCACAAAAAAGATTTAGATTTTGGTAAATTTTCAAAAGAGATATATTAAACCGATTTGTGCATATTTTCCACAGGTCACCATATTTGGGGATAAGTTCGATGCCCCTCTATAACTATGGGTACGTACATGTATGTTGACTCATAAAGTATCCACGATGAAAAAGGAAGGATATGGAGATAACGAACAGTATTCAATCTCAAAGTCTATAATACAATACAAAATAGGAGCAGAGCAAACACGTACCTCCGAAACATCAGAGGTGGGATCAGGTGTCATGGAGGAGTGAGCATCCCCTGCTGACCGGTCACACCAGCCGTGTGATCCTTGTCATTGTCAGGAAATAACGGAAAAAATCCGTCGTCAATTCAGTGTATAAATAATGGACTTACAATTGGTATGAAAAACGTCAGTCTGCATATGAATCAATGATAAACTGTTTATGCCGACAAATGACGCATTCCTAAAGAGATGTATTAAACATCTATTTTGTATATTTTCAACAGGTCACCAAATCAGGGGATACAAATGAATTCGATGCCCCAGATGAACTCTGGGTACGTATGCTGTATCTTGATATACCATCTTTCTCTCTTAAATTCTGCAATCAGTTTAATGGTGAAAACAATTAAGCATTACTACCAATCTTTAAAGCACTTCACGTCAGTTAAGATCCATGCATTGTACATGTATTATATAAATCACATAATGACCTCCATTTACAGTCATTTTTATGTTTTTACGGAATTGTATGTCAGCAAAACATGTTAATTTATAAAAAAAAACAAATTGATTAAACTTCTTTTTAGAATATGATTGCACCCAAAGCAACTTCATTGGTGTCACATTGCATTTTGGCGAATACGTTTTCACATTGATCTGATAGATTGGTCTTTAACAGCAGTAATATTTATATCAACAATATTCCATCAATCTGAGAATAGTTCTCCAAATGAAAAAAACTGAGGATAACGAACAGATCGTATTTTATTGCCGTCCTTAAGACCAGGCTGCTTTTACATATACAATATAAGCAGAAATTTTATCGAGTATTTTATTTTGGCATGGCAAGGATGTTAAGATCGCTAAAATTGAATATCGCTAAATTGCGTTTTATTTGCAAAAGCTTAGATTTTGTAAAAATTACATCACACTCAAAATAAATTATAATTACCAGTTTTGAGGACGTCGCCAAATTTACGTCTCGCTTGAATTTCCACTTATACGGAAAATATATATAACTTATACGGAATTTCCACTTATCCTTTAAAAGAAATAAAAGGAAATACCTTCAAAATTGGGCCCAAAGATTTTAAATGTAATGCCGATTAGTTCACCTAGATCCATTGCATTTCGTTTTGTAAGTGAAGTTTGACAATAATGTAGTTCCTTAAATCCCGACTGGGATTGTATTAGTAGATCAAATTCATTAGTGAAGTTTTTGTATTAGCTTAGCTACATGTTTTTCTATCAGTTTAGATATAGTTGGTAAAATAGAAATAGGACGATAATTATTCGGGTCAGCTTTGTCACCTTTCTTAAAAATAGGTGTTACTTTGGCTTGTTTTAAATTTGTTGGAAAATACCACTTACTATGCTAGCATTAATAAGATGAGTTATAGGTTTATATATATATATATTTGGATGCGACTTTAAGAAGATGCGGCCAAATAAAGTCAATACCAGCTGATTTATTGATATTTAGAGAATTTAGCATGTTAAAAACTTCACTTTCCTCAATTTGATGAATACTAAAGATGGTTTTCTCATCAAGCTTAGACCTTACAAAATTACATATTATATTAGGACCATAATCATGTTTAGGCATTTTCATCAGAAGCTTTTCAGATATATCCGTAAAGTGGTTATTAAAAGTATTTGCAATATCCTGTAAATTATCAACAATTTCCCCATTAGAAAACACAAAAGTGCGATCTTTTCAAAGCCATCAATATTCAACTCAGAATTACTAATGTTATCATTCAAAAAGATTTCACAAAGTCCTAGGATATTAAGATCTTGTTTGTTTTGAAGCAGGATTTTAACTTCTTCAATTTTTGGCATTACGTGACAAATGTTAAGGTTTCCAAATTTTAATCCCTTTTTCATCAAACCAAATTTACTTTTACTTGTTACACTGTCATTATGAACAGTATGTAAATAATATGTACAGGTAGGGGGTTGTCATCTTTTTTGCAATATAATATTGATAAATAATACCTCATTGTGAATCTTTATTTTTCATTATCATCTTATTGATTATCATGTACATGTATTATTACTTACTATTGTATTTTGACCTATTTACAAGGAGAGGTTGTACATAGGCCTTGCATGCTGCCAAATCCGTATTGTATTATTCAATAAAATATGTTTAAAGTAAAGGATTCATCAAAGAAAAATGTATAAGGCACCCAAGAAATACTAACGACCCATCAATTCTTAAAACAATTCTATGGGACTTCAAGGGACATCTTTTCTGATGAAAAAAAATTAACCCAATAGTTGAAGAAACAACACAGAAGGAAAGACAAATATTTTTTAAGAAATACAGAAAAAACAAAGTCTAGACATCCACACGTCATGGTTAAAAAAAATTTAACCCTCGCGTCAAAGGATTGAAAAGGCCTATTTTCAATTACTGGAATTAATTGGAAGCAGACCCAACATGCAACATGCTTATTCAAATCGGAGCCTTTCATTGCGTATAGTAAGAATAAAAACATATATGAGACCTATTGATAAAATCAAGTTTACAGTAAACATGGAATATCTTGAATGGGACCCCTGATGAGGTATAATCTGTCACCGAAACACTCTACTAATATACCATTATAACTCATTATCAAGTCTGGTTTATTGATGTCAATTATGGAAAACATGGCGTTAAGTAGTGGTTAAACCGTGTGCTCTATAGTCTCGGAGTAAGGAGTCGATTCATACGTTGTGGATTTGAATCTCAATGCTTGACGTGGAGACCCGTCCAGCGCATAAGACAATATATACAAAGCTCCTGTGTCACAATAGGGGCTGGAACACAAAGGATTCCTCACTGCTCTGTTCCGAGTAAAGGTTTAAAGAGCTAGGTTCACTTAATGCATAAAATGGCCCTGCACTTATGTCAGTTAATTAGCTATCACCCTTTTTCCCATTTCATATATCAAAATAAAGTAGTCACATTGTGCTTTCATTTCCTTTCTGAGAAACCGGATATTTGAAAACAGGCTTTGAGAACTTGCTATGTTCTTGAAATTTACATAAAAACATGCGTATTAATTACCTGCAGTAAAGAATTAAAATATGAGCACAGCCCACGATCCAAAAAATAAAACATTATTTTTGATCTTCTGAAACAGATCTTTTATTATATATTTGAATTTTTTGGATCAGAGGTTGTACTCTATATGAAATATTTTAAGCCATTTTCAAAGGAATTTACAGGATATGAGGAAAATGATACATTTTATGACGCCATAATACATTGACTAGAGGAAAATTATGTTATGAACTTATGATTAATAGTTACATGGTCACCAACACTCCAAGTGATAAATACTGCGTTTGTAACCTAAACAGAGCGGTTTTGATTTTTCGGAGATTCTATTTTCTGAGAAATACTCAGGGGGCCACTAGCATGAGAAGAATATTACATCTATACTTCTATACAGTACATGCATTTTCATATGTGTGAAGCATTTTATTTTCAAACAGTTACTTATTTTTTGATAGAAGACAAGTGTTTTTCTGTGCTCTTGGCCATCCTCACAACTCATCTGGAGAAATGAATAACTGCAACACAATGATGTAAGTATAAAATTTCCTTTGCCTAAATACTACAACCACTGCTTGCTATTTTTGATCAATTAATGTGCTAACGCACCACTTTTAAGAAAATTATTTTTTTCTCAAAAATAATCATTTTACTTTTCAAAACTTGTTTAAACTTACTTTAAATTTAGTTAATTTTTCAAATAAATTCCGAAGTGCCTGCATCAGAGTTCATTCATACTCCCCTATTATTGCATTAAGAACAAAATGATCAATTAGAAATATAAATATGACAGAGGAAATTTGGACTGTGATAATTATCAAGTTTATGGACTAAAGTCTAATCGTTTCTTTTCATGAAGCAACTTTGTTCCATTGCTATACTATTTCAATATAAAATGAGTTTTGTTGCTTGTAAAAATTGAGGTATTTTCTGAGAAATACTCAGGGGGCCACTAGCATGAGAAGTAGGACATTGACCTAGCTATTTGAAATTGAAAATTAACACAAGAATTGTAGATGTACAATGTGCAGTAGGCGGTTTTTTCGTTCTTATCAGTATTTTTCAATATAAAAAAAAATTAATCTAATAACAATCAACATAAAATATCGTTACAGTATAAAGAAATTTAACTAAACTACGGTTACTACCTGCGTAAATCGTTTCTATTTACAATAACAACGCTTCGAACGGAATTGTTATTTACAACGATAACGGAATCGTTATTTATAATAACAGCGCTTCGAACGTGCCCGATTTTTATATTACACCTTGACGGAGACGTAAAACAGAAAATTTCCAGACGTCATATGATTAGCTTTTATCCAATCAGCAAACTACGAATTTGTCTGAAGTCTTTATTGAGATTTCTAGATCGTCAGTGGACATTAAAGTCGACGTTTAGATGTTTATAACTACATATATATTTTCCTTTTTAAAAAACTTTGATGTGAATGATCTTGAAAATAATCATGGCAAAGCAATTGATAATGCTTAGAGGTATGAATATATTGGTGTATCGAATGATTCTCAGTAAGCTGTGTCTATAAATGTTTATAAGTAAAATATGCATCACAAAGAAAATAATGATATTGAACTTCAGTTTGAATATAGTATTTGTTTTGAACATATTTTGTTGTATAATTTATACACAGGGATTGGTTACAAGTTCTTGCAACTTAAAATAAAACTAGTAAGAATATAGTAAGAATACTAGATGAGATCTCGTTGCGAGCAACGAGTAGGTCTTCCGTCCGATTTTTCGATTAGATGAGATCTGATTTTGACTATTATCTTTCTTAAAACATAATAATATCAAGCTTTCTCTCTTTTGATGAAATTCTTTTGATTTAGATAACAGTATCTAAAAGTTATAGATGAAAGTCTTGGCCCCTCTAGGCCCCTTATTTAAGGGGTCAGACCCTTTGTCTTCATATCAAATGATAAGCTCATGATTGGAAAGATTTGTTTAACAACTATTCATAAATTTCTTTTCGTTTTCAAGCTATGTAGAATAGAAATATACAGCCCTTCAAGTCCTTAATGTGGTCGTTTTGCAAAAAATGAATGATTGTATATTGTTAAGAATACGATTCTGAGCATCTTTTATTCAATACTGCTTATCAACATATTTCTCCTTTCCGAGATATAAAGAAGCAAATATTTAGCATTTTGGCCCCTTATGGCCCCTTATTACGTAACATATGATCATAATTTTACAATATATCGTTGCAGATTGTTAAGATAAACATGTTTGCTTAAGAAATGTATGACAAAATCTTGATAGTTATAGAGTTATAAATCAAAGCGTTCTGGCCCCTCTATACCCTTTATTTGAGGGGTCAGGCCCTTTTTCTTCTTTTCAAATGAAGGAACGTGTAATTCCTAACAATTTTTATTATATATCCTTTAACAAATCATTTACAGGTACAAAGATATCAAAGAAAACGTATAAAATTTTGCGATATATTTGTGGGTCGATTTTTCGAGCCCAGGTGAACTTCAAATTATTTTGCGCTGGAAAGATATAGAATCAAAAAAGCAATTCTACAATCCTTCCTCTACCTTCCTTGAAAATCTCAAGTCAATATATTATTCGTTTTCTAGTGATTGTCAGGACAAGCTGACCCTCTGAAAATCAGTATATCGTCCATATCTCACGGCTGGAAGTGACGTCGTACATATAAAAAAATTTCAATAAGGTTCAGACCAATATCTATCAGATCTAAAAGTTTCTTGAAAATCCACCGAGCCATTTCAGAGAACTCGCGTGCACAAAATCGGTAAGAAAAAAATAACTAGAAAGTCTGCTATTGCAAGCAATAGCTTGTGTTGCCCACGAACTGGACAAGACTTTCATTTTTTTGCAGCACAGTTAAGGTTACAGTAAGAAGGCAGGGCCTAATTTGTACGGGAAATGTTTACTATGACGTCACACATAATATATGTTCTTCAAAATACCACAAAATGAAATTATTTCCTATTTCAAACACCTTGATAGCTGTATACAATATACAAACTTACTATTACATGCAGTTTTGTCGTTTGTTAAATCCCACACAACAGTATATAAACGTTGTATCGATCGCAATGCACTTGTCAATGTGACGTCATCTCGCAAAAATGACGCAGTTCGTATACAGTGTAAGGCTGATCAAGTCACATTTTGTACAATGAAAAATGTCTTTGTTCTCAAATAAATTATTATTTGCAGTTAAATAAAAAGCCGTTAATTTGGATGCGATGTCTATTTTAGTATTTTATTTATAAACTGTACGTACATTCTCCAGACAAGCGATACTAACATGTGTTTTTATGCAGATTCTTTGACAAAGTAATGGTAGGGCCCTAATAAATCAATTTATTGCAAGGGCATACCCTCAATGTATATTGTCAAGATTTTAGACTCAAAAAGCATTAAGATATTTGAAAAGTGCTGCGAACTTCTTGAAATCTTGCAAATAAATTAATTATACCTATATTTAATGTAGCTGACCAGCAAAATATTCAACCTGCCGTACAACAAATTAAATTTTAGCAATTGAAAATGGGAATCTATATAGGTTCGCGTCACTTTTCACAAACTACATATGGTGTTGAAAAGGATTATAAATTAAACTAAGATTTTGAACTTGATTATGCCCTTGCAATATCGAAATTTATAGATGACCTCTAAATTGCAAGTATAATTGCTAAAGTCATGTGACGTCGACATGACATGACAAGTCTAAATAAAAAATCTAAATGTCCCCAACATATAGATTTAAACCACATTAAAATTTTTTTATATCAGTAAAGTCCTAAAAAGAATCGCCCATCCTAATAAATATGTATTTTTTATTTTAAAAAAAAATAGTCGATATTTCCATTTGTAACCTTAACTGTGCTGCGTTTTATCACTAAAACAGTTCCTATAAGCTAAGCTTGGAAACCCTCAACTCGTATCACTCCTTTCAGTATTTTCAGTACTTTGATTTAAAAATCAAAGTAAAAGGAATTTTCACTCTTCCCCTGTTTCCGTGGAAACTATTGACAATTTGCAATCTTTAAATGCAACATGCACAATTACAGATACTAACCATTTAAGCAGTAAAGTTTCATGACGAATGACAAAGGGACCAAAGGGAACAGTCGTGGACATAATTTGTCGCTTTTGCAGGTTTCCATGGCAACGGTAGCCATTTTGAAACTGAGTGACCACACAACACAACCACAACCAGTGATCCTCCTTTGTGGAAGGTTTCAAGAAGATTGTCCCAGCCATCTCCGAGAAAAAACCCGTATAACAAAAAACATGCGTACAATTGCAATATGTCGCCCCCGACTTGGTTCGGGGCAACATAACAATATTAGGGAAATAGAAACCGAACGAAAACTATAAGGTCTTCCGTTTGTAACGAAAGACCTTAATAAGAATAAACCTTCTAAAGAGAAAATAACCATAAAAAATGTTTTTGTTCATACCTATCATGTAAAAGTTGTATATTCAAAGATATCATATTTCATTCAAATTGTAGCAGGTTTTACTGCAACTGATGCCCCCCTCAAAAAACAATGTCCTCAAATTCAATGAAATATTCACATTCCCTTCATTTATCCTTCATGGAAACATAGTACCTTATTATAGCATGTAATAAAATAGTACAATAGGTATCAAAAGTGTAATTTACGTGTAGAACAAAAATGTCAGTGAGGTACATTCTTATTTTTCAATTTAAAAAGGGACAAAGAAAGGATCTGACGAATTCTTTTACTCCAGGACTAACAATGTGATTTTATATAACGCCATTTTTCCTGCTTTAGGCCTCTACAGGTAATAAATTGTCAGTAGAAACTATACGTCTTCTTATTGGAATCGATCAGTCAGCAGTAGTACAAATTTAATTCCTAGCTTGGGTGGGATTTCATCTAGTATTTATATATAATTGTGTCACTTTACTTAAAATTATGGAATTTTAATGTCGTAGCTAATAAATTACTACAATGATAAATTAAAAAAAAATGAAAATCGTGCCAATGCGTTTTTGGGAGTAAATTGCTAGTTTGTGTGTGTGTGTTTATGTATATTCAGATAACACAGTCAGCATGGTGTCTGCAGGGGCCTCCTTTGGAGGATTTTGTTTCAAAAATTATTAAAACAATTGAAAGAATATTCATTACCCTAGTGAAAAAAAATGCTGTTGAATAAGGAGATAATGAACAGTAATCAAGATCAAATTCCTTGTCTACCGATCACATCTGCTATAGGCTCCTTTCTTTGATAAGGTAGAAATAAAAAAAAGTAGACAACTCAGCGTGCGACTTAATTGCAGCCCGAAGGACCGGGCTGCTCTATACAAAAAAGTAAGTGTTGGTGTATGGGGATTGGGGTTGGAGAAGTTATTAAGAATTAAACGTTTTCTAAACATTAAAAAGATTGTTAATCAGAAAGTTCTTTCCCTTTATAAATTTTGAGATACAAAATATTTTCACTTCCATGAGTGAATTTTTAAAAATATGTATGTTTTTATATTCAATATATAAAGTTACTAATCAT